ACCACGGTCTTCGTGAGGAACCAGTCCTTTTTCGATTTTGTATGCAATTTTCATCGGCGGTATCATCGGCGAAATGCGCGATTGTTTAGGTGCCAATGTCAATAATTTCAGGTTTAAAGCTCCACTCTACGTTGATGATATCTTCCTAGTCAGCGAATCGACAGAGGACCTGCAAAATATGCTCGGCTGCTGCCGAAATTACGCAAACAAACGCTTCTTTCAATTCCCCACGATAATGTCGCAGGTCGCCGTATTCGGTATAGACGAAGACTATGGTTGCTCCTGGACACTCACGGGCGAGTCCACGACCCAGCCTATTCACTATGAATATCTAGACCTCACGTTTCGAAGATGCCTTGGCCGCTATAACGCGGAGGCGGTTCTGAAACTGAGGCGGTTCTGAAACTGAGATATGTTGGTATGGAATTTATCGATGACAAAGCGAACTTCATTCAAGATCTTCCAGGCGCTTACATCACAGGGTCTGTCACCTCGTAACACTGAAGGATGACAGCGTGGCATCTTGGGACAATGTTTTATCTTGTGGCAAATGTGAAGGTGGTGTGCACTTGCCATGTTCATGTCACGATTCGGTCCCAGCTGGTGATTGCCATTGCCCCAAATGCAATCTACCTAAACCCCAACGTTTTTGGAACCGCAGGCTATGGGTGGGCAAGTACAGTGTAATGGATTATGGGGTCCATTAATTACAGTAATTACAGGACAATTACCTTTCACACCGAATTGCAGAGTAGTTGGAAGCTCATCTTTTCAAACGCGCTGATTCAAGTTGCGATGGGTCTTGGCGCGTAGGGGACTCTGCCGGGGCTGAGAAACTGGCTTGCAAGCTCGAAGACGGGGCGGTTTTCGAGATACGAATTTTGGCGGCATCTTGTGTGGCCGATGCCCGACCAAGCGCGCCGCCTACAGCCCCACCGACGAACGCCTGGCCGCGATGCGACGTCCGGAGCAGGTGCGCCACGTAGGCCGGTGCCTCGTGCTCACAGTCCTTCGCGTTCACCCATTTGACCAGGTGGCCCCTCGGCTGGGCCGTGTCTGCCATCGCGTTTTCCCGTGGGTTTGCAAAAAACGATGGTAATTCCGGGGTAATTTACAGGCCCTCGGTGCATGTAAAGCGGATTATATAGCCCCTTGTAATTACCGTAATTTACAGCGTAATTGAAATACGGTAATTACTTTTTAAAAATTTCAATGCCACCCATAACCGCAGGAGCATGTGGTTGCATCCATCCCATGAGTATGCAGGAGGACACCACTCCCGACCGGATCAACCAGGTGACTGACTGGTTTGGGACTAGGCAGACTGATTTTAGGGCAACAAAATGTGATTTTTTAAACCTCTTTTTCCTAGTCTGGAGAGTAATTCGCGTTCATCCTGGAGAGTAAAATGCATTCTAGGCAATTGTTCTAGAGGAAGAATCCTTTCATGTCGTCGTCGCGAGTCGCGTCATCGTGACGCCGGAGCACCGCCTGTCGGTCGGGAGAGTCCCCGGGTCCTCGTGCGCGCCCACCAGCGCCCGTAACGTACCGTTGAGTCCGACCGCCCCACAGGGACACTACTGACTGGCTGGTTTTGGAGCGACCCTCCCCAAATCATGATACAATTGGTTAGATTAATTTCCTGCATCCTCCTGGTCCACCCGGGTTAATGCGTTCTCCACGCGGGCTTAACAAAAAAATGCTGTAACGGAATTTATAGACAAGGTCGATGTTAAACGCAGAGAGCACGATATTTTCGAAAAAAGATTGGAAAACATATATACGGTAGAATCACCTCACACTCCGGGAAACATGGCCTCAAAAAAGCGCTTTGAATCTGAGGGGTCATGGGGGTCGGCTGATTATAGCATCTATACAGGGCTGTCAAAACGGAGGAATCAGTTGGGTCTCATGGGATGCCACGGTATGGGCCTACCGACATCGATTGCAAAGCAGGTTGCCCAGACGCTCGTTGTATCGAGTGCGTTGCTTAATACGGAAATCTGGCAAAGCCGGGGGGGTATGTATGCTCCAATTCAGCAAGAAGTGGATAACATTTATACAAGATGGATTGATGTGCCACTCTGCACTAACGACGCTGCTTTGCATGTACGAATATTGTCTTATTGGCCAATGATTCCGTCCTAAAGCGGCGACCCTCCATTTATAAACCATATCGTTGTTTTACCAGACGGCCGTATGGTGAAACGAATGTACAGCCGTCTCAGGATCACCTCAAGGAAAGTCGAGGATCGTTCCGGACCGCTCGCCGTCGCGATCGATGGCAAGTGACCCGCCCTCAAGGTCCGCCTGCAGCATCGCGTTGCAGCGCCCGAACGTGCGCCTGATCATCGAGTCCCCGACCTTGATCGACATCCCCTGTGCGTCAAGCCTCGATGCGCACGCCGGCGGGGCTCGCGGAGGGTGCCCGTACAAGGGAGGCACATTCCACGGACCCGCGTCGCGCTTCACGTGGCCCCGTCCCAGCTCGACCGTGTCCTGGACGCGGGCACACGAGGTGCCACAGTCATCGAACACGAGCCCCCATTGCACGTCGCTTCAAATCGATCCGCAGCTACGAAGCTCCGATCTACAGCCATAGGGTGTGCGACCAAGAGGTTCGCGGGGGACGGCGCTTGCACGGCGCTGGGACGGTGGCGCCTGGACGGTACTGTGTCGTCTACGATGCGACTTGAGCGACTCTGCGGGGTGGGTGGGTCGCACGGTTTCAACAGGAGGTCACCGTGCTGTATTGCGCGCCGAATCTCTTCGATCCTCGACTGTGCCGGACGTTCGTACATGCTGCAGAGTCGGGCACCGAGCGGGGGCCTGTCGAGCACGATCCTCTGCAGCAGCCTCCACGGGCCACTGAGCATCCGAGAAGGGTACACGGCCTTGCCATGGACCAGCGTTTAGATCAAGATAAAATCAAGCTTCTCCACACGGGCTCGCCGCGAGGCGGAGGGCAGCTGCTTGCTTCAGATCATAATAACACAATAATAATAAAATTACAGGGCGGCCCGCCCCTGGGGACTGGCGTGTAATCCCTAAGGACCTTGCCCTGGCGGCGGAGTCGACTCAACCAACTTGGCACGTATTTGGCAAATGTTTGATAGGAGACGG